GATAGGATCCAAACCATGAGCATCATGTGCCTTGTGACACTACTGGTCAAAAGAGCAGAACTACTAGCTTTCAGAGCTTCATTGTAGATAATCGAGCGGTCTCAGTAACATTGGAAAAGACGTGTAAAAGTCCAAGAACAACCCTTAAACTTAAAAGCTAATCAACATTAATCGTACGGGTAGATAGGAACAAAGAAAAAAAAAGGAAGACAAATGAAAACCTGGGAAAACTGTGCATCTGATCAAATTTAAGACAAGATTATGAGTGGATTTGGCATTGTAGGTGCATTTAGTTGTGCTGCTGCATAGACCAACATTGGCACAAACTTCTATTCATCAGACATGTCTTGGAATATCTGGGGTCAGTAATGGAAAAACTTGTTTGACACCCTTCATGGCTTCTGGTTACAGGGAATACTGCTTCTGATATCGACAATATTCAGACTTTAGGGTGACAATTGCTGGTTCAGAGCCTTTTAACAAATCCCTTCAGCCATCATTGGTTGGAAGGATACATCTGTTTGCAAACTCATACGATTGCAAAGTGCAATCATCAGAGTGAGTACTTTAACAGAAATCAGTAGTTTGCATGAAATTGGGAGGTCTCAGCATGAGGAAGTTTGAAGTTTCCACTCACAAACCTACAGTGGTGCCTATGAGTCATACTGTACAACAACGTGACTATCACACCTTCTAATTTGGAAGTAAGACTTAGGCCCATCACATACATTCAATCCCAGCCTGTAAAATTAATTGGACCGACTTCTGTTATAAAAAAATGATGCTTGAAGGACAACCCACCGGGAGTTACATTCACATTGGGGGTGATCATTTTCTCCTTTAACACGTGGCTGATGAGGACAGAGAATAGACATAATTTCTGCTAATTTTAGATGTTAAAAACTCTTCCACTTCTACAACCAACTACTGGTAGCCCAATAATCTACCATAAGTGTGATCTGTTTACCCAAAATGGTCAACAAAAAATTGGCAAATGGCTTTTTTACCTCAGTCTGTTCAGCCCACCCCACATAGATGTCCTTAAGTTTGTTGTTATAGATTCCTATCCGCTCAAGTGTATATTTATGCACACACACACACAATATAATTAATGTAAAATAAACAGTTGTTTCTGTTTAAGAGGGGAGGAATGTCATGAAGTCATCTCAGTAATTGCAATGCATGACTACTCTGTAGACTGTAGTGTTTATGAAATGAACTTCTAGAAATGAGCAAGACGATGCCTTTAAGACACTCTATTTTTCCTCTTATTTTTTAACACTTATCACTTATTTCTTTCTTTACTTTTGAGCTGTTCCCTACTTTGAATCCTGCTGCAGTTGAACTGCACATGACCTATAACCTCCCTAAAAATTGATGCTCTCCTTCTGGGAGACTGATGTCATAGTCGTTAATTATATATCTTATATTTAATTTTTCTTGTTAATGCTGTTAAATATGCATGTAAAGTCCTTTTTTCCAGTACTGTCTTGAATGACATAAGAAGTTTGTTTTGTCTTGTTGTGGTCAAGTCCAATACTCAGTATTATCTATTTACATTTTATCATTCAAAGCATTTGAATGCATGATCGTGGTAGTGTCATAGTATTGTTCATTTATTTGACACACGCATACAAAGCTTTAAGAGGAACAGAAAACGGTTTATTGAACAAACAACTGATAACGGATGCTGATTGGTTGAGGAGATCGAGCCAATCGGAACTGTGGCTCCACTGCAGAGAGAGGGATGAGAAAGAGGGCTTGAATGGAGGAAGTTGTTGAGAGAAGAATGGTTTTTACTTTGCAGCTGACAGGAATCAGGGCCGGGTCCTCTGCATGGAGATTCCAGTAGGACGCCGCTGTTGTTTGGGGACCAGCTCAGATGGAGGAATATTGGAGAGTGGACAGGTTACACACAGAAGGTTGATCTCAGGAGGACGAAGGCTTCCAGCCATGGTCGTGAAAAATCCTACAGGTTATAGTTTCTTAGAAGAAGGCTCAGATGAGGCTTCGACATGAGGAGGTTTTTCTCAAGAGCTGTGGGGAATCCAACAAGGTCCCTGGAGGAGACACAGGAGGTTTAACAAGTTTTTCCTTTTTCCACAAGGAGTTGGGAGTCACATGAGCTGGAGGAGGGAGGAGAAGGGAGGAGGAGGGAGGAGGGGGTGTCAGGTGATCACAATGATTTCCAGGTGTGAAGAAAAGTTGGTGGGAGGACCACCCTCCAGGTAACGGTCCCACGGTGCCCTCAGGTGGAAACCTGGAAAACAACACTAAACGTACAGAGAACGCCCCAGAACTCTGACATGATGAAATGGGACGCATTACACAGCTGCATCTTCCATAAATCCATTAAATTTTCTGTACACGGTTACTTTATGTATAAGGTTACAACTACTTATCAAAACCAATGATCATAGTCAGACTTCCCATCTTATGTATTGTCACCTTTACCATCTGTCTAAACACTTTTTACGACTGCACTGGAATGCTTAGTGTACTGAAAACATATCAGGAACCAGTCTGTAAATTGTTCCCAGAACCTTCTTGGGGAATTTAACTTAAAACATTGTTGAAAAAGTATCATAAAAAGATCATAAAAAATCTATGAAAAATAAAATTTCTTTAAGAATTATTGTAGAGGCAGGCATGTGTTTAGCACTTGTAACAAGAGGGAGTGAGTGTGTCTGGATATGTGTGTGTGTGTGTGTGTGAGTGTGTGTGTGTGTGTGTGTGTGTGTGTGTGTGTGTGTGTGTGTGTG